CCTCCGACCCGTTCCCCTCAGACCCCTCTGGGACCCCCCCTCTCTCCCCGTCCCCTCAGCTCGGGGGGTTCCGCCGCTGTCACGCACTTCCTCACCCCCTCGGAGCCGCCTCTCCTCCTCAGCGGGGCCCGGGCCGGACTGGGGCCGTGGGGGGAGGGGAGGCGGCTCCCTCAGGTGGCCACTGACAGGAGGCGGGCGGGGGAGGGGGCTGCGCGCGCAGGGGACCGCCTCGCGCCGGGCTCCCTCCCGCCCTCTCCCCCCCCCGTTCGCCATTTCCCCCCCCCCAAGGAGGAGCGGGACTCCCGGGGTGGCGCGCGCGCCACCAACCGTCACCTCCTCGGGACGCCTTTCCCGCCCACTCCGGTTGCTAGGCAGATTTGGACAAACTTGAAGTTTCGCCCCGCCCACTGTTCCTTTCGCCCCGCCCCCCTCCGGCCCAGGGGCGGAGTGTTGGTTTTGGTGGTTTTTTTTTTTGCAAGAGAAGATTGACGGCTGCGCTGCCCAATGAGAAGTCGCGGTGGTCGATCCCTCCAGCCAATCGTGGCCGCAGCCCGCCTTCGGCCAGCCCCACGATGCGAATCGGCGAGGAATGAGGCGGGGCGATTTTATGATCGAAAGGCATCCTAACCAATAGGCTTCAAGCGACGCCGCGCGGGTGAGCAACCGGCAGCCAATGCGCGGGGAGGGGGCGGGGCCGGGCCGCGAGGCGCGGGGCGGAGCCGCCCCCGAGGCCGGCTGAGGTGAGGCGCTGCCCGCGGGGAGGAGCCGCGCCGCCGCCCTTCTCCGCCCGCGCAGCGCCGCCTGGGGCCCGCGATAGGGCCGGCCGCCCCCGGCTCCCCGCCCTGCCCCGGCGGCGGGCCCCGGTGAGTCATCCCGCTTCCTCCCGCGATGTAGGTCGGGGTGCGCGGGCACCGCCGGGCCCTCCGCCACGCCTCCGCTTTTAACCCTTCCGCTCCGCGGGTCGGGGCCGCCCGGCTTCGGCCGCCGTCCGAGGGGCGGTGCGGGAGCCGCCGGGATCGCGGGAATCGGCCGCAGCGCCGGCATCAAACAAACGTTCGCAATTAACGCGGTTTGCCGCAGCTCTTTTGTTTCAAAACATGAAGTTTTTACGTTTTGCCATAAAATCGCTCCCTTCCGGCCCCGGCGGTCCGGAGCTGCTGGGGCGGCCGGGTCTCCCGAAGGAGCGCTTCGAGTTCACCTCTCCGACAGCCGACATCTGAAATCCCCGCCGGTGACTTTTTTCCTGAGGCCGGTTGGGTTGAAGGCTTCGCGAAGCGAGCAGCTGTTGGAAGAAAACCCGGTCGGTGCGATGTGAGGGGCTGGAAGAGCGGCTTTGGAAAGGGACCGAATGGCAAAAGGTCCGGAATGTTGCTTCAAGGTTTCACTGCAGATGGATCAGCTCTAAATTTCAGGTAGAAATGTGAAAATGCCTGCCTGAACTGCTCCGGTTCTGGGCTAAAGAGGCAGAAAGCGCTTTTATATCAGATCCCGTTGGTGAAAGATCAAACTCGATATCCTTCCTGAGTGCACAACTTCTGGCTTAGACCAAATTAAGAAACAACAACCCCAGCTGTTCGACCAGAAACCTTGTTGTAACTCTGACATCTGCCAGCTTCCAGCAGTCCCTGCAATTTCCTGGCCACATCAGCCTTCAGCAGCGCGCAGAGGTGAGCAGTCAGGTCCCCCGTCAGGTAATTCCAGTTCTCCTTCCAGGGCAGCAGCTCAGGTACAGCTGCAAAGCAGCCCAGGTCCTGGCAGGGCGATGGGAAGGGCCCTCTTTGGGCAGCACTGCCTGCAGATGGGCTGAAGGAATCAGTATTCCACCAACTGCTAGAAGAAAATTAAACTTTATTTAAAAATTCTTCTAATGTAGAAAACGAGAGGAAACAAAGGCAAAAACGAATGCCCCCGGTTCCGTCTCATTACAGGAGTTACTGTATGTACAGCTTCAGAAAGGAGCACTGGCAGAAGGTACACATCCTACTTATGGAGCACTACAAACACTTAACAATACCTCGTACAAACCTGACGTAACATTGAAAGGTTCACTGCAGGAAACAATTAAATACAGTTGCTAAGACAGACAGTAGAAGAGCACAGACTGATGTTATTTCATCCCAAATCCTCTGTGTTCCAGGCAGCCTCAGCCACCCTCAATCAGTCCCCACTGCTCTGGTGAGAAAATGCTGCATCCCAAAGGATTGGGATCGCTCTGTGGGGTTGGAGGTCAGCGACACAGAGGAGGAAAACAACCAAACCCTTTCTATTGTAGTTTGACTTTCTGGCAAACGGGGAAAGCTGAATAAAATCAAAGCAGTGAAGCAATGTTGTGCTGCACCTATAGGCGGCGTCACAGCTGAAGGCCCTGCTCGTTTAGCAGTGTACATTTTTGCACGTGTGGGACAACAGAGAAAGCTCATGAGTTTTCTTTCTCTGTTTTTGAATTCCCTATCCCCAAAATGAATTTGATTTCACATGCACACAGGCCTTCCTGATACCCATTCTGTAGGAAATGGCAAACACTGTTCTTCAGACTGCATTCTCTATACATATATAAGTTTTTACACTATCTACAAAACGGCGATTAGATGTTTGTTTAAGTTCTTGCTACTCATTTAAAAATACCAGAGAAAAACTGTACAGTTTCCTAAATTACATCTTTAAAAGAATAATTTTTTTTTTTTAGAAGTTCATAAAAGACTTCGTGTTTGTTTTGAGAATTAAATGATCGGACAAGAAAGATTAGAAATACATTGTTCAAATGGAGTCAGACAGACCGAGCAATTAACAGAAGGTTGTTTGTAAACTGTAAACTTCTGGTTTTCTGTTCAGCTTTACATCCGCATCCAAAAATTAGGAAGAACTTCAGTTTCGAGGTCCTTGTTTTAATCTCTGCTACATACAAAAGATACTGAAAAGCAAAAACTATTAAATAATTTAATATACAAGCGTAGTTAAAAAGCACTGTACATTGTAACAAATGTACACTTGAATTTCAGAGATAGAAAATCACCGAGCTATTTCCAAATTTACACGACTTTTGATAGTGTGTGATGGGGAAAAGGCCGAGGGCAGCTCTGTGGGGCAGCACCTCACCTCAACCACTGCACCTGAGTTCCATTCTGCACGAAGCAAAGCATGGGCGAAGCTGGCGTGTCACAGACTGGGGTCCCACCTCCTTCCTCCTGCCATGACAAATCCAGCCGCCGCATGCAGGCAGCGCTTCTGCTGAGAACTCGAGCGTGCTGACATCAGATGCGAGCAGACGGCCGCTCCCTCCAGGCCTCCATTCCCTCCTGAGAGCATCAGCAGGGATTTGAGCTGTGAGCAGTTTGGTTCGTGTGATGAGGAGCCAGAAATCGCAGTCCTCAGCGACGCAGCTCCCCGAGGAGGGTGAGGGCAGGAGATGCAGCTCCCGCGTGGCACCAGAGGACCTTTTCTGCTGCAAAATCTCTTCTTGACTTCAGCCTGAACCACAGCTCTCTACAGTTGGGGTAATTTTTTAAATATTGCCTTATAGAAGCAGCACTTTTCTGGCCGACTTTTAAAGCCACTTATTGCAGTTGCCACGGGCGTCTATCAGGTAAGCAACAGCCTCAGATTGGGTGGCAGAGTGAAAACAAAGAGTCTGTATCATCTGAATGGGACTGTGGGAAACATTAAAGCACGTGAGTGCTGATTTGCACAGCTGCAGCCGTTCCTTGCACCTCACAGGAGCTGAACTTCAGGTGGATGGCAGACAGGGAACACTCCATCCCAACCAACAGCATGACGAGCAGCAGCAGCTTCCATCTGCACAGCCCTTCCCTGCGTCTGATGTATCCTTGCAGCTCACAAACCTCACAGCTTTCCTTCTTTTTGGAGTTTTGAGGGAATAAAATAGACTTCAAAATAGCACTGAACTTCCTTCTGCAACCCCAATAATACTCTCCTTACAGTGATACTGAGGACATGTTTTCCCTACTGGAGATTTGACAAGGCCTAAAACACACACAGCTTCTGCAGGAGCAACTGTCTGAAAACAGGATCTGAATCTGCACTGCACGTCCAGAAGGATGAGCATAAAACCCCATTGAGGGGATGTGTCCCTTTTATGTCATTCAGTGGTTAAAACCAAAGGGTTTGAATTACAAAACGTGTCTTGTTTGCTGTTGCTTGACAAGGGGAAGGGTTTTCCAAAAGGAGGACCATTAGAAACAGGGTTCTGTCTTCCTTGAGGGGTCAAACACTTTCTCTCTCCAAAAAAGCACACAGACCTACCAAAGGAACTCTGCTAACAGATTCCTTTCCCCTTCCCTTTTTCAACTGGGTGATAAATATGCAGAACTACCAGGAGAGGGAAAAAAAAACAACCCACCTTTATTTGACCCTTGGAACCCTGTAAGGTTGCACTGCACTGCAGCAGCCTGGCACGGCTCCATGGGATTGACAACTTCTGTAGTGTTTCCTACAGAAGGAATTTGGGCCATGCTTATCCTGCTTCAGGACAGCTGCAGAGGCACGGGGAGACTAAGGAGCTCAAAAAAGGGAAATAAAACAGAGGCTAACATGGAAATACTTCTTTTGCTAAGTGCAACCTTCTTGCTTCTATGGGAACTACCTTCAACCACCTCGCTGAGCTGAACCCTCACTGCAATCATTGGTAGAAATTGTTAAGGCACAGACGCTGCCTTGCCTCGGTGAGGCTGCAGGATGCTAAAAGCTGGGCCAAAATGAGAAGAAACCTCTTCCTCTGGTACAAATTGCTACAAAACAGCGGAGATGGAGAGAGCTGCAGTTCTGGTTGTGCCTCACCAGCAGTGCAGGGACACGGAAGGGAGACCCTCATGGGGACAGTGGTGGCACAGACTGTCACACACTGACAGCCCCAGTGCTGTGGGATCTGCAATTCTGCTCATCCCAAGGAAGTGACACCCACATCCCACCGCCCTCAGCACTGCAAGGCGACTCGCACACAATGAGAACATCACCTCAGAAGCTAAATGCAGAACTTTAGGGCACCTTACAACCAGTCAGGATTGAATCCCGTTGATCCCAGGAGTGGAAGGGCACAGAAGACGTTAAAACTGGCATGCATTGTAACTCAGGGAAGGTTTGAGCATTTAGAATACAACTGGTATTCCAAACTGTGCAAGTCCTCTCAACTCTCTGTGACAAATTAAAAACCAAGTCTAACAGCTTAAGGAACGAGTGTCCTTTGGACTAAACCTTACTTCTCAGTAAGAGGAAAACAGATTAAAACCAGTAGGTATATACACTCTAGCTGTATATTCACACACGTTATGTAAAAGTAGCTCAAAATGCCCTTCTCACTTTGCAAGTCTATGAAATGTATGTTGTCTTTATGCAATTTCCTACAAGGCCCTCGCTAGAAGAGGAATTTGCTGCCTTTTCTTTGAAGAAAAGATTTTGCAATGAGTTTTTCTCCTTTTCTTTTTCTTTTTTTTTTTTTTTTTTGGCTTTTTTGTTTGTTTCTTATTGAACACACTGTCCTGATTGTGTTTCACAGGAGACTGGCCAGGCTGGTGGTGGGTCCGTTCTGTGCCTGGAACTGTACGGGAGGTGGTCCGTCTGTCCACTGCAAGATAACAAACAGCATGAAAATCCTCCAGCCACGACCTGGGAAAGGGAGGAGCAGCAGCAAGGCCAGAGGAAGGAGCTGCCCACACACATTGAGATCATTACTGATTTCATGGCAAGCTGAGCATCAGGTTTGACTCTGTCACACACATGGAGCAGGGGAAACTGTGACTCGCACGAATGACAGACCTCAATTTAGATGCTTCTGAGCCCGTTCTACACTGCAGCTGTTTCCAGAGTGAATAAAGCCTCTGGTTCTCACCCGTTTCATGCTTTCCTCTCAAATTTATCAAAATCTCCTGAACTAGGCAGATTTCGTGGTTTTTAATCCTCTTCCACCTCCATATTTTTAATCTAGCATGGATTACGCATAAGCCAGCAATGGCAAACAAAGTCAGCAGAGCACGGAGCTCAGGGGGACAGGCTGTGGGCATCACCAACATGGGCTGCACAGCACACGTGGGTCTCACGATCCCTCTGCAGCCAAAGCAATCAGCTTCTTCCTGACAAGCCTTTTTTTTCCTCCCACAAAGGGAATGTTGGGAAAAGATGTCAGGTTTCCTTGCATCCCAAATTCACAATTGGATGTTATTTCGGTCTAAAAGAATGGATCATCTTTCACCCTTGCTGAATTCCAGCATAACAGAGCACTTTGGTATTTTTAAACAATGTTAAAAGTGAGAAGTCCAAAATAGGAACCCCTTAAGGTAGCAGCTATACAGACATCAAACGTCATTAACTGGAAATTCAATTTATAGATAGCAGTGCTCAAAGCACTGCCCAGAAGAAGGGATCTAAACATTAAAATGAAATCTGAGTATACATTAATTTTCTTTCAAAAGTAGCAGCTGTCACCAAAATGAAGTGGCTACCAGCTACAAAAGGCATTAAAAGAAAGTTCTGGAGTGCTAATAAAACCACTGTAGGAAACAAAGACCTCAGAGGGATATCAAAGGAAAGCAAAACACGTTGTCCTGCCTTTAAGAGTGCTCATAACCAGAAGATGAAGATTGTTTACCGTGATTAAATTGTGTTCTGGAAGACTGCACGCTTCAATGTGGTCCTGGAGGAGCTGCTGTGAGAAGTTCTGATGCATCTGTGCTGCCTCGTGTGCATCCATTGCATTTCCACAGGCTTTATTCAGGTCTGAAAGACAAGAGCTTCATTTGCTCACTGAGAACCACTGTTCATACTTTCATCTGACACGACTCTTCCCTATAGTAATGAATGAATGATTTAAACTGCCAGTACACATCAAGGCCACCCCACTCAGAACAGGCAGGGGCAAATAAAGAACCCAAGCTCTTCCTTATTCCAACAGGCCTGGCAGCACACACTGCAGGATCTGATGTTATTTTAGTTTCCAATCATTAAAATAACATACTAATTGGGCAAGGAGGAAAGCACCTCCTCACTCAGCAGAGCCCCCGTGCTGCAGGCACTCACTCCCTATGATCTGGCACCATCTAGTGGGAACGAGGGCTCACCAGTCTGTCACCAAGCTTTGCTAGCACACACCTCACAGCAGCAGTTCAGTTATTTTCCCTCCTCGTTCCCCTTTGCTTTCAGGCCCTCACAGCCTGCTGCTGTGCCCATCCCCAACAGAGATTCTACTGTCTTGTTTCCTGTGAGGTTTGCTCAGCCAGATTTCAGACTGCTAACACACTAAGCATTGCAATTTAGCTAACAGGGATAAGCAGCATAGAGGTGAGGGCTGAGACACACGGCTCCTGTAGGTGAACAAGTGCTGGCATTCCACTGCTCCTGATGGGGCACCTCTTCTTCAAAAGAGAATCTATCAGTTCCATGGGAAAGCTCTTAGAAAAACCAAAGCAGAATGGGAATGGTGCCTCCGTGACAGGAGCAGAACAAGGGACAGCCTTTCATCTACAGCAGATTCATCATTATTACTGGCACGTTTTGTATGTCAACCACCACTTGGAAATGAAGGAGAGAAGTTATTTCAATTGCCTAGAAGCAGTTTTGCAGCAAAGGCGGTAGCAAAGCAGAACATAAGCCTGGCCCTGTGCTTGGTTTACAGCACCATGCTTACAGCAAACACGACAGCTTAATAGAAACTGAAAGTGTGGGGTGAGTTCTTGGAAAAGGGGCAGAGTTACTGCTTTATTTTCTACTGAAAGCAAATCAATTGCAGCATTAACGCTGACAGTCTGCCAAGAAACTAGTCAATATTTGAACAAAGCATCCTGGGGCCCGTGTAAGTCAGATTAAACAATATTTATGTATGAGTGATATAGCAGTCTCTTGTATTTATTAAGGCCCCCAAGTAGAAGCAAAGCAAATTAATAAAATGTTTACTACAGCGAGAGCTGCAGTCAGAGCAAAGCCCTGCAACAACAGCATGAATGCTGCATGGCTGTGACCTGGAGCCTTTCCCATGCAATCGCAGTATTCTGCACAGCCAGGCACTCAGTCTGCATGATGGGCAACCTCCATACCGACCCCCGTTGAGCAGCAATGCTTCTTTGCCACTTTTAAGCACATTTTCCTCACTTACCTCTCAGCAGAGCTGAAGACCACAGCTGCACAGACATATCTGGGATCTTGCTTGCAAGCTGCATGGCTGGCACTACCATATTATTACTTTCCTGGTGAAGAGCAGACATCAACATCAAAGATGTATTTTTTTCCCCTTGCAAATACGTAATATATCGGAAGAGATGCTGAATTTGAGACAGAAATTTTGCCTGATTTCACTGCTAGCTTGCAAGCTGAAATGCTTAATGGGACAATAACCCAAACATATCATCTAAAGCTGTCTGGAATTTTGCTGTGTCCTAGGAATTATGGTGTCTGTACCGTGCAAGATAATAGAAATACTTCACACATTCTGGCATACGATGAGAATTCAGAAGAGCTCGCAGCACAATTCCTTCCAAACAATCCCACTGCATGACGTTACTTGTCCTTAATTCTGTTCCTTTGTTTCCCCTGAGTGATTTCAGGCATTACAGAAGCACCCATCTCTACAACAGGAGTCAATACTGCTCTGTTAAAGAGTGTTGCTCAGCGTGCACAAATGGTGTAGTATCCTGCCAGCTCTCAGTGGGACACCTCCATACAAACACTCCTAAACACAACTTGAGGAAGCCCCCCAGTTTGCTCTGGCAAATCAATAGTCAAACACACGGTAACAGCAGACACATGAAGGCTTACCCTGTGATTCCCTAACACGTAGAATATATGGCCCAGGAGCACGAGGGAACATGCTGTTAATCGATTCAAATCTTCTGCATTTGACATTTTCAGCGTCTCTCGCAAAAACCTCCTGCCAACACAGAGCACAACAAGAAGCATTGAACCAAAATCTACTTTCCCTGATGTTTTTAAGAAATGTCATTAAGAACCCAACGAACCCCATCAGCAACTACGAGGAATAAATACGTGCTGCAGGTGACTTTAAAGCACAAAACGCTTCATCCCCAAACCTCACCTCTCATTCAGCAAGAAGGATTTTAACATATCCCCCTTTGAAAAGCCTTTCCTTCAGATGGGCCACTGCAGAACACCGCACAAGTATTACTCAGAGCAAAAGAGATGTAAAACAGTCTTTGCCTCAAGCGAAACAGAAGGTTGGCTAAACCCACAGGGAACCCAGGAGGTTGGAAACCAAAGCCTCTGAGTTTTCACGTTGAGTTTAAATCCTGATCTGGTTTTTCCTTCTCCCCACCTTCCAGGTGCAGCGCTTTGTACTCACTTTGCCTCGTTGTATCTTCCTTGGAAGAAGGAGAACAGACCTCGGATGTAGAAAGCTGCTGCTCGAAGGCAGTGGGAACTACAAACAAAGCAGAACATTGACACTGAGGGACTGCAGTGACAAACAGCACAGGCACACTGTGAGGGATCTCCCCCATAACCCAACCTCTGCACAAAACATTACATTTAACAGACAGTCAGAGCTTCTACCTTGAAAAGAAGAGGATTATTCTGTTTTCTTTGAATAAAACCCAATACAAAACCAGTATTACCATCATCAGTGCAACATCAGCACAGTTTCTGGAACTCTCACCTCACAGGAAAATTGTGGTCTGGATTTATCCTTTCCAATAAGCTGTAAAGCTACAAAGTGAGAGGGGGAAAAAAGATAATCAGTGCTTCTGACATATATACAGCTGATGGTATAGAATCTGACACAAGGTGCACATCACATCAACACATTCAAGTCACTACAAACACACAGAAAATATCCATTCTGGTCCTAGAATCGAGTTTTTATACAAAAGATGACCTTTTAAACTTTAAAAGTTACTATAAACTGTTAATGCTTCCTCAGAAAATCCTTAGCAGTCATTTAACTGAACTGCTCCAGACCCAAATGCTGTCTCAGATTCGTTAGTTAGTCCAAACCAGTAATGAACTAGGCAAAGAAGGGTAACTTTTGCAGAGCTGCAGGCAGGGTGCAGTGAGTGCTCACCTCCTGGTGCCGGTTGCCTTCCCTGATGTACACACTGGCCAAGTTTGTCACAATGAATGCCCACAGCTCCTGGTGTGTAGTGAGCTAAAACAAAGCACACCAACAGCACAGTCAAAATACTTCAGTGCCTAACCCAGAATTAGTTCAACCCATCTTTAATATTCATAAAAAGAAAGAAAATGCTCAGATTTGGTGCCTGTGCTACAAATTCTCCTGACCTGAACTCTGTTCAGCAGAGGAAAATCTGAACTAATGCAACTAATACAGACAGTCTTTATACTTTCAGCCTCACCTATCTGGTGCCCCACACAATCACAAGCCCAGCCACCACAGTGAATACTGTGAGAAGGAAAACCTTACCCTCAGTGCTGTAGTAAACTGTGCTTCTGCATTGTCCATGCAATTAACAGAAATGCAGTAGAGCCCCTGTAGAAGACACGATGTTGTTAAGGTAACAGCACATTGTTCCAAGCCCAGAATGCCAAGAAGGCGAGCATGCACAGAAATCAGCATATTTGGCTGAAAAAAGGCTCTTAATTTCTTACAACTTTCAAATAGCAATGCTACTTATATTCGTCCCCACACCCAGTTCCCACAACATGGTCTCAAAAACACAGTGCATATCCTGTGTATTTACACTGTGTACCAGTTATCATGGCACAGGACACTTTAAAAGGGGATTTTAGACTCCGACAGCAGAGCTGGCTGTGAGTCCCCACAGCAAGATGGGCAAACAGCAAAGCAAACTCCATTGCTCAGCAGGAAATTCTGCTGTCTGCATCACTGTGACCTCATTACTGGTGACTGTTCAACGCAGAGTCCTCAAAGAGTCACAAGTTTACCTCTCATCACAGACACTTACTAACAGAGTGTGCAGCTGGGCAGCGTGATTAGAAAACAGCCTGGGAGACTGCTGGCAGAGCTGGCAGACTTGAGAGATCTGTTAGGAAAAAAACAATCTATTTCAGGTATTTCTGTTTTGATGCATGCCCTCTATCCAGCTAACTGCACCACACACAGCACTTGGTAAGCTGCAGTGAGTGCTTCCAGGACCCAGTGCTGCTCTTCAGTGATGGCAGAGCCAGCTGTGCCTTGGGCTGAAGGATGTGCTGCTCTGTGCACGCTCCTCCCACACTCACACACACACACAGGAACTGGTTTGGAATGATCTGCTTTGCTGCAGCTCTGCCATACGGTGGCACCACCTGCAAACAAATACCAGATCTGCTCGGAAATGCTCAGATTCTGTGCTGACCCACAACAGAAAAGCTGGAATTAAACTCTTCCAGAGGGAATGTGCCTGCGAGGAGCACCGAGAGCCCAGCACTACTCTTTTTCCCCCAAACACATTCATGTGAAGGCTGACAACAGAGGCTGAGATGATGCAGCAGCGTATCCTATGAATAAGGGGCAGACAGGAATTAAAAACGCTTAGGAGAACAGAAAAAAAGTGCAGTGTACTCTTGCATTAGAGAACTCTGTCCCCCTCCTTTTTTCTCCCTGAATTATTTAAGAGGAAGAAAGGACAGAAAGTCAGAGAACCTTAAAGACAGAGAAGAACAGGACAGGAACACTATAAGGAAGTGAAAGGGGAAGAGTTAAGAGCTGCTCTCAGCCATGAATGGAGGGAAAAGACACCAAATCAATTGTGACCAGGAAGAAGGGACCACTTCTTGCCACTGCTCAGTACTTGTCAGCTCCACCAGCAATTCCAAAGTTTTGGTAAATGAAACAAATTAAGAGGTGGCTAATTCCCAAGTGCCATCAGGCCTGATGGTGTTTATTAGCTTAGCACTGCTGGAACCCCCATCTGAGCCCAAGAATCCTTCTTGAAACACAATTTTACAAGTTATTACTGCACGCATCCCCAGCTAAGGAAATGGTTGAAGCCTGTGTTTACCTCCTGCAATGCTGTGGCTTTGTGTCCTGTGACAAGCCGACACATGATAATGTGTTCCAACAAAATAACTTGGAAAGATGACAAGATAGGACTGCAGTCCAACACTGAAAAAGGAATCAAAGGGAATCTGGTAAGTTTAGTTAATGCAATACCAACACTCACGGCACACAGACCCTCCTGCACCCAGCCAGCTTCCTAGTGCAGGTGGCTCAGCACAAGGAGCTTTTTGTGCAAATTCAAATTTCTGCATTCAGAAAATCGAAGTAACCACCCAGCACAGTTCTTAGATGCAGAAGAAACAGACAGAAAGGCCATCCCAGTGAGCTGGAAAGGTCCGTTAGTTTCTTTTTTAATTTAAATTAGCAACAAGTAATGGAATCTTGCAGCATCAGCCAAATTCTCATTCTCACACTTACTTTTTAGCTTCTCTAGCTGCATGAGTGCTTTGTCTGTGTACTTCTGAGCCTTCTCCAGGTACCCTGCTTGCATGGAATGCATCACTGTCACCTGCCAGAGGACACAGGAAAGATTACAAAACATTTCCTTTGCAGAGGAAAGGTCTGAGCGTTCACACAACTCCTCAGGCACTCATCATTTTAAGCTAGGGTTTTATATCAATTAAGAACAAAAACACATGCAAGAAGTGGGGCAATCAATTTCAGGAACGTGAAGACAAGACTGCTCTTCTGTTGATAAAAATAAGCCAGCATAGAACCAAACCTTCCCTTAGAATTATCTGACTTGATATTAATGAAGCCTTATTCCAGTTCCCAGATTTCTCACACAGTCTTTTCAAACACTGACGTCACTGAAAGCAATTTTCTCACAGATGCTGTGTCAGAATCAAACTGTCAGCGCAATGCAAAGCAGCATGTGGTTTGCAGAATCAATCACTGCTGGTTTTAGACCACTTTTAAGCAATTCCTCATTAATCAGCAATATGCATTAAGTAAAAAAGAACTGCTCACCAAGTAGACAAGCACACACATGTGTTCCTTGGGCAGCCAGTGAAAGAGATCCGCAGGGTTGCTGGGCAGAATCTCATCATCATGTAGCGTGGATATGGTCTGAATGCACTGCTGAAGCTGCTTCAGACACGGCTTCACACTCTTCACCTGCACAAAATGATGCACTTCAGACACAGCGCTGCATCCCAGTCACCTGAACACTTACTTAGCTGAGAAAACTTGCCAAGCAACAAATTATCCACATGCTCATGAACTCAAGTTAGGCCCAGCTCTTGCAGTCTGCACGCACCTGCCCGGCATCCAGGTAATGTGTGACCTGCAGGACTAAGAAGAACACACGCAACGACTCCTTCTGGATGGGGTTTCCTTGCCAATTTTCAACTATCTGCCCACACAGTGTAAGGAGAGGGTGCACCTCCTGCAGCTTCCGTTCCATCAGAAGGAGCTGTAATTCAAAACACAAGTCAATTTTGTGCTTGGCAGTTCAGATGCTCAAAGACCAAAGTTACACTGATCCATTATTTCAAATAAAACTAGACTCAAAGGCCTCTATTTGCAAAAGCAGTTTTTTCATCCTTAATTCCAAGGGTTCCAATGACAATTCAGTTAGAAACCACATATTTGTCATCATTTATAACAGGAAGCAGAGGAACTCATTCACAAGAATGCCACAAGAATCCTGCAGACTTGAGGCTGGGCCCATTCAATTCTGTGCTGACATGAACTGAATATACAGAGCACGGATAATACCTTAAAATAACCAACTGATGTTCACATAAGTTACATTCTCTTCTAGCTTGTATCACACTAGTTAAAAATTTCAAGGTACATCCAACTCACCATTCCCTTGCTTAGCAGAAACAGCGCTCTGAAATGAAGCAAAATAAGGTCACAATCCAAAGGAAACACAAGATACCCCCCAATAAAGCACGTTTAAAAGCTAGATGGAGAGGTCTGATCCCAGCACCAGGAACCACAAACCCAACCTCTCAGCCTTGTGCCCATTCAGACCATCCCAGCTGCAATAGCTGCTAAGGTCAAAGCAAGGCTAATGGAAAATCTTTTGCTGATAAAGACAACAAACAAAGTTCAGTATAGAAAACAACAACAACAACAACACCCCGTGTCTTAGCATTCATAGGAAAATTAAAGAGCTGAACAAACTTTCAGATCTAAGAGAGCACTCAGAAATATTGGTTTGCCTGTAAAACCCACGTGGCAAAGAGGCCACATCTCTCATTTAATTAGACATAGAACAGAAGAGGAGAAGGTAGTAGAACACGTCCAAATAAGAACAATCCAAAATATTTTTTGAGAGAAGGAAAAAACCAAAGCTGTGTGGAACTCACCTGGTATACTCTGACCCCACAACCCGGGCATACTCTGCTCCCACTCCCAAAAGGTCACATGCAGATACCAAATCTTTTTCAAGGGTATGTAGTTGCTGAAATGAAAAAAGGCCAAAAAAGGTCAGTGTTCCTTAATGAATTTAATAATCCTTTTTTTTTTTTTTTTAATGTCATTACTTCTTTGTTTTACACACAATAACTGCTAAACTGACACATTAATTACTTTGTCTCATTCTGGACTGATTTTCCAGGAGCACTTTGCATTCTCCAGAAAAAGCCTGTAACAGTTCAGAAGGAATTTCTCAGCCAGGTTTCATATCCCAAAGTTGTTATAATTTACTGAGAGCACGTGCAGAGCAGACAGGATCAATTCAGACATAACCAACCTCAGACAGTTGCATGAGGAGTGCTCCCCAGCAGGAGGAGCAGAAGAATTCTGCAATGCACAATTCAGGTGATGAGAAAGGGATGGCACAGCCTGCAGAGCACCCTTCCCTCCCCTCCAGCCTCCCAAATTTCAGATGTTTTCCAGACTCAGGTAGAAAGCCACACAAGTGCAGAAGAACACGCACTGAGGCAGTGAGACATACAGACCCTTGTGGTCAAGCAAAAGCCAGAAAGGAAATACCACACAGAAAAGAAATCAGCAAAGAATGTCAAGCTCCAAGAAAGGATCCTATTCAGTGGGAGGCGCCGAGAAAAAACATTTAAGCTTCTTGTGAGTACTCAGGCATTAACTCATTGCAAAGCAAACATTTGTCCTTTAATCGATAGGAAAGGCTCTGCACAGTTCAGCGTTCCCAAACTACATAAAGGAGCTCAGCAGTTCCTTTTCAAGGAAGTTGGTCTGCTTGTTTAAGCTCGTCAGGAAAGGGGAAACACAAGTACAGGTGACTTAAGACAGTCATTAAAGACAAAACTGCTTGCTAGCCAACCCTTTTTTCACAGAGTACCTCAAAAGAACAATTAAATCCCTCAAATCTGTCTCTCCACTGATATTGATAACTGGAAAAAATAAAGAATCACAACATCTGTGTTATGTGAAGGTCCTCACAAAGAGGTGTCCAAGATCTTTCACATAACAGTTTTCCAGCCATTTCTACAGCCACAGTGCTACGCAGTACTCCCAATTAGCAACAGAACATCACTCACTGCAAGTTGGAAAAGCAGCCTACAGTGCCAGTATGGAGTCTGCTGTGAGATCTGGATGGCCTTGCGTAGCAAAGGCTTTGCTGTGTCCACCGAGTTCTGAAACAGAAACACACACCCAAGTCAAAACAAGAGCCAGGCCCTGAGCACTTCTGGCCTTCTGAACAAGATGCGTCCCGTGCTGATCCTCAACCAAAGCCTCACAAGTCAGGAAATTTAAAATAGAAAAAGTAACCTAAGTAAGCTTTTAATACGCAAGACCACACAACAATAAGTCTCCTCAAAGGCATCAGTTATTTTGCTTCTTTGACGACTATTCCAATATTCCCAGCACTGCCTCTGCAGGAGAGGCCCTCGGATCACCCTCGTGTTACAAAAGGCCCACGGCTTCCCCGAGCTGAAGACACAGAAGCCGATGCAGTATTCCAGGTGGGGCCACACGAGGGCAGAGCAGAGGGGGGACAACAACCCCTCCCTCGTCCCGCTGCCACTTCTCCATCGATGCAGCCCAGGATACAGCCGGCAAACCCCTTCGATAACAGCCGCACCCCGCACGGAGAGCAAAGCCGGCAGCGGCAGCAGCAGACGGAGCCCCGGGCCGCCTCCAGCAGCATCGCAGCACTCACCTCCTGGCAGTACAGCTCGGACAGCAGGCTGGCTGCCTCGAACTTCACGTCCTCAAACTGCGGGATCTGACAACATCTGAGTTAAGTAAAAACTCAAAGCAACACCGCCGCGGCACCCCCAGTCCTTACTGCAACACACGCGTTAAGAAGGCGGGACGTTAAACGACTCGGACTCGCTCCCCGTCCCAGCGCCGGGCCTCATCGGGGACGACTTCGGGCGGGCAGCAAAGGATACCTGCTGCGAGATCAGCCACTGCAAGAGAACACGGCGCTCAGCTCTGCGCTCGGCGCCCCGCAGCGCCCCGCCCCCCGCGGCCCCCCCCCCCGCTCACCGCTTTCTCCAGGTGCCCCCGGGCCTGCTCCCCGTTCCGGGTGTGGTGGTAGAGCACGGAGCCGAGCTGGAGGTGCGTGCGGGCCTCCATGCGGGCCGGGGGCTTGCGGGGCAGCACGGCCTGCAGGCAGTGCACGCACAGCCGGACCTTGGGCGGGCTGGAGGTGCGGAAGTGCTCGGCCAGGCCCAGCAGCGCCAGGTACCACGACTCCCCCCCGCCCCCGGCCGCACCGCCGCCCGACCCCGACCCCGGGCCGGGCCCAGCTCCCCCCGCGCCGCCGCCTCCTCCTCCGCCCGCGCCCCCTCCGCCGCCCCCCGCCTCCCCGGAGCCCGCGGCGCCGCCCGCCGCCGGCTGAGGCTGCTGCTGTGGAGGCGGCTGCTGCTGAGGGGCCGCTCCGCCCGCCGCGCCCGCCGCCACCGCCGCCATCTCAGGGCCGCCGCGACAACACGGGCGGGGGGGGGGGGGGGGGGGGGGAGGAAGGGGCGGGCCGGGGGGGGCGGGAGCGGCGCGCGCGGGGGGCGACGGGAACTGCAGTCCGCCGAGGGCGGGACGGAAGTGACGTAACGTGGGCGGCGGAAACGGGGTCGCGCGAGGGTTTGTGGGGGTTGTAGTCCGAGCGCGCTCTGCCGCGCGGCTGCCTTAAGAGCTCGGGAAGGAGCGCGGAGGCCGCGACCTCACCTCAGCGAAGCGCTTCGCTCTTTCCTTCCCTTCCCGCCCTGAGGCCTCCTCGGGGACTGCAGCTCCCAGAGGCCTTTGCGGCGGCTCCGTCGCGCACCGCTCCGCCCGGGCTCAGCGCGGTGCATGGTGGGACGGCAGTTCCAAAATGGACCATCACCACCACCACCGGGATGCGCCGGGTACGGCTTTGCCTTTTTGTCCGCCTCCTCCCCGATCCGCCATTGAGGGCGCAGCGCTCCGCAGCCTCTCGGCCCGAAAGGAGCTCCACGCTCCGGCCGCTCCTCCCGCTGCAGCGGGCGGTAATCGCGTCCCCCCTCCTTCTTTTGCCCCCCCCCTCAGGGAAGGCCAGTCGGTGGTTCGGGGTCGCGCAGTCGAAATCGGCCAAGACGACGGCGAATATCCTGCAGCAAGAGGAGCTGATAGCGCAGAAAAAGAGAGAGATCGAGGCCCGTCTGGAGCAGCAGGCCCGGCAGAGCGCGCTGAGCCTGCAGCAGCTGCCGCTGCTCGGAGAGTGCGGGTGGGAATGGGGTGGGGGGCGTGGGGTGGGGGATGTGGGGGGCGTGGGGGGGAGGGGGGGGATGTGGGGCGGGATGGGGGATGTAGAATGGGGGGTGGGATATGGGGAGTGGAGGATGTGGGGGGGAGGGGGGGATGTAGGATGGGGGGTGGGGGATGTGGGGTGGAGGATATGGGGGATGTAGGATTTGGGGGGTGGGGGATGTGGGGGGGGGAATGTGGGGGGGGTGGGGGATGGGGGATGTGGGATGTAGGGTGTGGGGGGTGGGGGGTGGGGGATGTGGGATGTGATATGGGGTGCAGTGGGATTGGGGTAGGATCGTTGAGAGTTTAAAGTCTGCCTAAAGCTCTTATTGCTCAAGTCGAGTCTATGAAGCTCAGCAAATTTGTGTCACTGCTGGGCGTAACAAGAGTGCGTGCTGATGATCCTTTTCTTAATTTATTTGTGTGACCTGGTGTAGGGAACCTGCTTTGGCAGGGGGGTTGGACTCGATGATCTCTGGAGGTCCCTTCCAACCCCTACGATTCTGTGATTCTGTGAAGAGGTTTTGCACGGGGAATAATGTGGGGAGAGGCCTCACGGGCACTTGGAGCCAACGTGGAGGGGCTGGAGCTGCTCGTTAGTTAATTACATGTTGGGAATGGCAACAGTGGGCTCTGTGTGGTTAGCTGATTTGCCCAGTGTTGTCACTTCATGTTAACAGATAGGTGCCCGTGGGAATCGTAAATGGTTTGGGTTGGAAGGGGTCCTTAAAGGCCATCTGGTCCCACTTCCCTGCAGTGAACACCTGCAGCTCCATCAGCACTCAGAGCCCCTCCAGCCTGACCTTGGGTGTCTCCAGGGTTGGGGCATTCACCACTTCTCTGAGCAACCTGTGCTCTGCTTCACCACCCATTTCTTAAAGAACTTTTTATCCAGTCTAAGTCTCCCCATCTTTAATCTGAGCCTTTTCAATGCTATGATATGATGTTTTCCTTCTCCTCAATTACCATTTTTTTGCACAATCTTAATTCCCAAGAGTCAGTGCAATTCCACCAGTAGCTGCTTGCTTAGAGCTCCAACTGTGTAAGGGGAAATCCTGTTTTAATGTGGTGGAGGGCATAGGATGCTATAAGCAGCAAGTGGAGTGATTCTTGTGCTTCTGAATAGCTGTATTCTCAAAATTAGGTGCCAGAGATCAGTAATTCTTGATTTTGTTTTCTGTCCAAAATAAATGTCTATGAGGGGACTGGGAAAGTTGTCACTTCACCACCACCTGCTTTTTTTTTTTTTTTTTTCCTGTTTAGAGATGACGGGACTGAAAGTGAAGCCTCTGTTTCCAACAAGTTTGTCAATGATGGCAGTTTCCTCCAGCAGTTTCTCAAGCTGCAGAAGGAAAAGTCAAGTACTGGTAGGTCGACCTCTGAGCAACAGGAGGCCTTCCTTCTCCTGATGGTACCAGCTTTGTGTGAGCTGCCTCCACGTATATTCACCTTAGAAACCTTGCTGTTATCTGTTACCAGTATGAGTAAGTCCTAAAGCAACGCTGACCCCTTTAGATTTGGATTGAAGTCTTCCTTCAGGATGCAGTAGGAACGTTTGCACTTCTTTCCATCTGTAGGTGCTGTAAAGACAAGCCTCTTTTATTTATTCATTTATTTTTTTTTAGCTTGGATCTCCCTTTGTAGCAATTACCGTAGGTTTTCACTTAGTTGTGAAGCTTTTGCCAGACAATGTCTTTAATTTGCTCTGAGAATGACGGCCTCTTGCAGATGTATTACTGCCTGAGTTGTTGTTTATAACCTGCTGAGATGAAAACAGTAAGAATGCACAGGAATTATTTTCCCCCTCATTCTTTTCTAAGAACCTCCCCCAAGTTCTACTAATAACTCGGCAAACGCTTCTGCACCAAATGTTGGGAAGAAACCTTTGCTGTTTGGGAAGCGCCCTGGTCAGGTCCTGAGCAGCATGCTGCAGCAAGCGAAGAACTACTCCCATTCCAAACAGACCCCAGTCGTTAACCGCCTCAGTGTGTTTCAGTCACCAGATGAAGATGAGGAGGAAGATTATGAGCAGTGGTTGGAAATTAAAGGTAAATGATGCTTTGTACTGTTCCGTTGTTTATTTGGTGGGTGGGAGATTGCTTACCTTAGGGCTATAAGTTGAACCTTAGAAGATCGATTGGGCTTTTCCCTTATGCTGTGAGTTGTTTGTAAGGTTTTTTGTGAGCAGGTTTCTGGGTGGAAAAGGTTGAGAGCTGTGAGGTACCAACTGACTGGGATTATTTGTCTGGCCTGAACTCAGTGTGGGAGGTGGTCGTTCACTATAGTTAGACTGGATCTGTTTTACATCTAGGAAGGTTGTTTTCTCTCAGATAGCAAGGCAGACAATTGAGGAGTGGGGGAATAATTGCACGTATAAATGAACAAAATTACTTATAAGTCACAGAAGTAGAAGCAGGTAAATTTCAAGTTCCTGCCTCTCTCTGAAGCCTCAATAGAAAAACACACTTTAGAGGTCTTAACTGCTTGAAGAGGATATAAAACCAAGGAAGAAAATAGCAGCACTTAAATAAGCAATGGGCTAAGGAGCCAGAGGGCAGATGTGGTTAATAATCTGAATTTCACACGGATGTGCTAATCAAGTATAAAATTAGATTGGTGTTGCTAAGTAAGTCACACTAAGATTTGTGTCACAATTCGTTTTGTTGTGTTTACAAAACATGTCTAGCTGTTGCTGTGGGATTTATTAAAACATAATCCTGGCAGATCTGAACACGAGAATGAAATGTACTGCAGGAACGTGAGAAGTAGCTGAGAGTGAAGATGGGACATGGACCCTTAATGCAAAGGCCATGGGTTCAAAACTAGTCTAGATCAGAGTGAACACCTCTGCTTCTGGACACAGTGCTCTGTGTTCAGCATCCTACCCAAAATATCATTGTTGAGACAAATGTGTGTTTAGTTTCCATTCAATATGTCCTGTGTCAGCTCTCCAATGCAGTTAGTGGGTTCCTTCTTTGGCACAGAAGGAAATACAGCTTTCTGGAGGCTTTGCTCTCCCTGTATCTCTAATAGGATTCCCTCCAAGTGAGGGCTGGGACACAGATATATGTCAGTAGGAAGAGCTATGTGCTCCAGCTGCACAAGAGGTCTCTGCTGTCCTGTTACAGAACAGTGCTTTGGGAACTGGGATTTGTAGTGTTTAGTTGGTAACGTGGTTGTCCTATTCCTCCCCACCGTGTGTTTTGTGTGGATTAAAGTCATCAGAACCAAACTACATTCCAGTTGAAGTTGTACTCTGAACTGTTCTGATTGCATTTTTAGGCTTTTTCTTGTACTCAGAACACTAACTTCCTAGTAGGGGAGGGAGGGGGGCTGACTGTGACATGAGGGTTGTGATTTGTACAGCTGTGTAAGACCAGATCCCCCATTTCATCCTTTTTCTTCCCGTTCCCGTTCTACTTTTGTCTGTCGCCGTGGTTCTTAGAAGTAATGTGCCTGTTACCTGTTTGGTGTGTGAGTTGAACCCCAGTACTGACAGCCTGCTTAAAGTTTTACCCCCAGAGGATGCGGAGACCCGCCAGGTGGTGGAAAAGCTGGCTAGGTTCGTGGCTGAAGGGGGACCAGAGTTAGAGAAGGTCGCTATGGAAGACTACAAGGATAACCCAGCTTTTTCGTAAGTCTGGAGCTAACTCATCTACCAAAGCAGGGCACTGTGACTTTGGAGGGGGGAAAATATCAGCCTTGTACATGTAGTTCTCACAGGGGGAGGGAGGGAGGGGGTTTGGTTTAATTATTGTTGGGTGGATTTGAGCTTTGTTGCACGTCGCTGTTTTTTGTTTTGGGGAAAACAGAGGCAGAAAGTGATACAGTGGTGGTGCTGTGGAAACAGATCAGTTAGTTAGGAATATAGCCTGGGAGTTCACCTGGCCTGCGGGGATGCTGGGCTGCACCTTAGGGCTGAGTCTGTCTTCTGTGCCATTGCTATGCTGCGTGGCTGAGGACAGAGGATTCCCCTGTATGGGGGAAGGACAGACTTATTTATTTTTCTTTGTGAACTAAGACAAAACATTTGGGTTCCAGTCCTTGGATTAGAGCTGTGTGTGTTTATACATGCTAAAGGCATTGTAACCCAGGGTTTGAGTGCGTTCTGAGTAATTTATCTATCTTGTTCTTTGTAGTTCAGGCTGTTTACATCTCTAGGGGATTGGTGTTGGTTTTTTTTATAGCTGTTGCTGATGCATATTTTT